TTTACTGCCACGTCACATTGCTGTCTAATGTTTAACTTTTCCACAAGGACTCCAAGATCTTTTTCACACATAATGCTCTCGAGCCAGGCAATCTTTTCCAGAATCTTGCCTGACCGGACGGTAATTGTTTAATATTGACCAGATGGTAATTGTTTAATATCAGACAATAGGTAAAGAGTAGAGACATCAGACTGGCAACCAAGATCCATTGCCTAGTCCAAGCCATGGTCTTCCCTGTAGTAGTCACCTACGGATGTGAGAGCTGGACCTTCGGGAAGGCTGAGCGAAGGAAGATCGATGCTTTTGAGCTGTGGTGTTGGAGGAAAGTGCTGAGAGTGCCTTGGACTGCGAGAAGATCCAACCAGTCCATCCTCCAGGAAAGAAAGCCCGGCTGCTCACTGGAGGGAAGGAGACTAGAGGGAAAGCGGAAGTCCTTTGGCCACATCATGAGGAGACAGCAAAGCCTAGAGAAGGGAATGATGCTGGGGAAAGTGGAAGGCAAAAGGAAGAGGGGCCGACCAAGGGCAAGATGGATGGATGGCATCCTTGAAGTGACTGGACTGACCGTGAAGGAGCTGGGGGTGGTGACGGCCGACAGGGAGCTCTGGCGTGGGCTGGTCCATGAGGTCACGGAGAGTCCGAAGCGAGTGAACAAATGAACAACAGCAACAATTGTATAATATTTATACATGGCTATTATGGGTTGTTGTAGGTTTTTTCGGGCTATATGGCCATGGTCTACAGCAGGGGTTCTCAACCTTCCTAATGCCGCGACCCCTTAGTACAGGTCCTCATGTTGTGGTGACCCCCAACCATAATGTTATTTTCGTTGCTACTTCACAACTGTAATTTTGCTACTGTTATGATTTGTAATCTTATATGCAGGATGTATTGTCACTGGAACAAATTTGACACAAATACCCAATACGCCCAAATTTGAATACTGGTGGGGTTGGGGGTGATTGCTTTTGCCATTTGGTAATGCTGGAGTAGCTGGGATTTATAGTTCAACTAAAATCAGAGCCTTCTGAACTCCACCAATGATGGAATTGAATCAAACTTGGCACACAGAATTCCCATGACCAAGAGAAAATACTGGGAAGGTCTGGTGGACATTGACCTTGAGTTTTTGGAGTTGTAGTTCACCTACATCCAGAGAACACTGTGGACTCAAGCAATGATGGATCTGGACCAAACTTGGCACAAATACTCAATATGCCCAAATGTGAACACTGGTGGAGTTTGGAGAAAATAGACCTTGACATTTGGGAGTTGTAGTTGTTGGGATTTATAGTTCACCTACAATCAAAGAATATCTGAACCCCACCAATGATAGAATTGGGCCAAACTTTCCACACAGATCCCCCATGACCAACAGAAAATACTATGTTTTCTGATGGTCTTTGGTGACCCCTCTGACACCCCCTCGCGACCCCCATGGGGGTCCCGACCCCTAGGTTGAGAAACACTGGTCTAGAGGCATTCTCTCCTGAGCCCAAAAAAACCAACAACCCAGTGATTGTGGCCATGAAAGCCTTCGACAATACATGGCTATTATGTCCCCTCTCAGCCTTCTTTTCTGCAGGCGAAACATGCCCAGCTCTTTCAGCTGCTCCTCATAGGGCTTGTTCTCCAGACCCTTGATCATTTCAGTCACATTCCATCTTAGAGTCAACATCTCCCTTCAATTGTGGTGCCCAGAATTGGACACAGTATTCCAGGTCAAGTGGTCTGACCAAAGCGGAAGAGAGCATGGGGAGCATGACTTCCCTGGATCTAGACACTAGGCTCCTCTTGATGCAGGCCAACATCCCATTGGGTTTTTTTGCTGCCGCATCACATTCCTGGCTCATGTCTAACTTGTTGCCTCTGGTCATTGGCAGGAAGACAGGGACTTCCTTCCTGAGTGTGCCCCTAAAGTCTTGCCAGGCAGAGAGAATCATGACATGGAATCATGAAGGCGGCAAAGCAGGGATGGGGCAGCTTCGGCTGAGTTGTGGAAGTTGGAAGTCCCAAACACCTGGAAGGAGGGCCGAAGTTGGCCCAGGCCTGCCCGTAAGTCTTTGGGGAAGAAGGAGAGGGAAGTGGCCTCTCCTTGGAGGCAGGAAACAAACCCCTCCTTGAGTTGCATAGATTTAGGAAGCAGGTGAAGGCATGGCCCCAATTGCTTGGCCTTTTCACCACCAAGGATTTGCAGCTGCAAAGAAGGCTCCTGGGTTCCGGAGAGTGGCTGCAACCCAAGGTCCAGCCTTGACCCCCTTGCCTTTTGTGGAGTGGGAAGACGACACTTCCTCTCCTAGAGTTGGAAGAGACCTGGTGGGGTCTGTCCGGACCAACCCCATTCAGCCAGAAAGCAGGAAAATTGCATTCAAGAGCAGGAAGTGGGGTTTGCACCACAAGTGCTCCTGAGCCTCAGGCGGCCCTTTGTGGGCAGTGCGGTGCCACGTTCCACCACAACTGCAAAACCCTCGCTTTTGAAACAGGAAGCGGTTGTGCTTTCCAAACAGCTCTTGATTTATTTAGAACCTTTGTATCCTGTCCTATTCTCGACCTCCGAAGAGGGACTCAGGGCGACTTCCAACAATATACAAACACCAATAAAATACACAATTACATAATTTTTTTATTGTTGTGTCAGGAGCGACTTGAGAAACTGCAAGTCGCTTCTGGTGTGAGGGAATTGGCCGTCTGCAAGGATGTTGCCTGGATGTTTTGATGTTTTACCATCCTTGTGGGCGGCTTCTCTCATGTCCCTGCATGGGGAGTTGGAGCTGACAGAGGGAGCTCATCCATGAGGTCTCTTCCGACGGCATGAAGACATCACAAATTCCTTCCATGACATCCTGACTGAATCATCCTGGGTGACTCAACCTTCACCACAATGCCAGTTGATGAGCTACTGACGACTGGCACAGCTCGTTTGTTTCCGCTGGCTTCTCGCTACACGGCAGTGAAACCAACTTCCCCCACATAGAATCAAAGAGTTGGAAGAGGTCTGGTGGGCCATCCAGTCCAACCCCCATTCTGCCAAGAAGCAGGAATATTGCATTCAAATCACCCCTGACAGATGGCCATCCAGCCTCTGTTTAAAAGCTTCCAAAGAAGGAGCCTCCACCACACTCCCACTAGGGCAGAGAGTTCCACTGCTGAACGGCTCTCACAGTCAGGAAGTTCTTCCTCGTGTTCAGATGGAATCTCCTCTCTTGTCGTTTAAAGCCATTGTTCCATTGTTCGTCCTAGTCTCCAAGGAAGCAGAAAACAAGCTTGCTCCCTCCTCCTCCCTGTGGCTTCCTCTCACATGTTTATACATGGCTATCATATCTCCTCTCAGCCTTCTCTTCAGGTTAAACATGTCCAGCTCTTTAAGCCGCTCCTCATAGGACTTGTTGACAAAAATGCTCAGTGAAAGCTATGTGCCTTGGAGCCTTACTTTCTGAATATTCCTTGTAGAGCACGAACTTCACACTTGGTGGGAAACAGAAGGAGGACACTCATCTTAAACCTTCACCACGATGCCAGTTGATGAGCTACCGACGACTGGCACGACTTGCTTGCATCTGCTGGCTTCCCACTACACAGCAGTGAGACTAACTTCCCCCATAAAAATTCCCTGTGAGATGGATGTGCCTTGGAGCCTTACTTTCTGAATATTCCTTGTAGAGCATGAACTTCACACTTGGTGGGAAACAGAAGGAGGACACTCATCTTAAACCTTCACCACGATGCCAGTTGATGAGCTACCGACGACTGGCACGACTTGCTTGCATCTGCTGGCTTCCCACTACACAGCAGTGAGACTAACTTCCCCCATAAAAATTCCCTGTGAGATGGATGTGCCTTGGAGCCTTACTTTCTGAATATTCCTTGTAGAGCATGAACTTCACACTTGGTGGGAAACAGAAGGAGGACACTCATCTTAAACCTTCACCACGATGCCAGTTGATGAGCTACCGACGACTGGCACGACTTGCTTGCATCTGCTGGCTTCCCACTACACAGCAGTGAGACTAACTTCCCCCATAAAAATTCCCTGTGAGATGGATGTGCCTTGGAGCCTTACTTTCTGAATATTCCTTGTAGAGCATGAACTTCACACTTGGTGGGAAACAGAAGGAGGACACTCATCTTAAACCTTCACCACGATGCCAGTTGATGAGCTACCGACGACTGGCACGACTTGCTTGCATCTGCTGGCTTCCCACTACACAGCAGTGAGACTAACTTCCCCCATAAAAATTCCCTGTGAGATGGATGTGCCTTGGAGCCTTACTTTCTGAATATCCCTTGGAGAGCATGAACTTCACACTTGGTGGGAAACAGAAGGAGGACACTCATCTTAAACCTTCACCATGATGCCAGTTGAGCTACTGACGAGTGGCACTGCTCGTTTCCTTCTCGCTACCAGGCAATGAACCCAACTTCCCGCACAAAATTCCCTGTGAGATGGATGTGCCTTGGAGCCTTACTTTCTGAATATTCCTTGGAGAGCATGAACTTCACACTTGGTGGAAACAGAAGGAGGAGGACACTCCTCTTAAGCCTTCACCATGATGCCAGTTGAGCTACTGACAAGTGGCACTGCTCGTTTCCTTCTCGCTACCAGGCAATGAACCCAACTTCCCGCACAAAATTCCCTGTGAGATGGATGTGCCTTGGAGCCTTACTTTCTGAATATTCCTTGGAGAGCATGAACTTCACACTTGGTGGAAACAGAAGGAGGAGGACACTCCTCTTAAGCCTTCCCCACGATGCCAGTCGATGTGCTCCCGACGACTGGCATGCCCCCTTTGCTTCTGCTGGCTTCCCACTTCTTTGCAGCCTTCCTTTCCGGGGAACCCTGGTTCATCTCTGAAAGACTCCTGAGGCACCTGAGGGTGATGAAGAGCCCGGGGCCAAGGGGGCGGGGCCTGAGGGGCGTGGGTGGGGCAGAAAGGTGGGGCGGGGCTGGTGGGAGGCTCCCCTTCCTTCCTTCTTTCCTTCTTCCTTCCTTTCCTGCGAGGATGGCGCTCCGGGGCCTGAGGCTGTCCCCCCCTCCCTCCTCCCGCTCGCCCCCCGCCCCGCCCCCTCTTCCCCCGGGCCCCCCCCAGGGCGGGAGGGGCCTGCTCCTGCGCCGCTTCCACTGGGAGCCCCTCCCGGCCGAGAGGGTCCGCGCGGGGGGGAGGAACCTCTGGACCTCGGGCAGGGGAGGGGGAGAGCCCCCTCCTTTAGACCTGGCCCTCCTGGAGGAGCTCTTCGCCCAGCGCCTCGGGGGAGGAGGGCACGCCCACCTGGAAAGGGGCGCCCAGCCCGCCACCCAGGTGAATTGTCGGGGAGGCAGGGCATTGTCGGGATTTTGCACGGGGCTTTCCTTCCCTCCCTCTCTCCCTCCCTCCTGGCTGGGTGCATAGGGTTGGGATGGATGGCCTCTGGGAACCCCTTCCAATCCTCCTCTTTCTGCTTCTGCCTCTGCCTCAGGGAGGGAATTGTCGGGATTGCATGGAATTGTCGGGAGGGATTTTGCACGGGGCCTTCCTTCCCTCCCTCTCTCCCTCCCTCCCTCCTGGCTGGGTGCATAGGGTTGGGCTGGATGGCCTCTGGGCACCCCTTCCAATCCTCCTCTTTCTGCTTCTGCCTCAGGTGTCCCTCCTGGAGCCCAAGAAGGCCCTCAACCTCAGCATCTTCCTCAAGCAGTTCAAGAGGTGAGCCTCCACTTCCTCCTCCTCCACCTCCACATTTATTTATTTACTAGCTGTCCCTTGCCAGGCGTTGCTGTGGCCCAGTCTGTTGATCTGGAAAATAAAGTTATGAGATAATGTTGGTTTCTAATATAGGTAATGTCTTTATGCTTGTGGGTAAACAGCACTTCTTGCTTGTATTGTCGAAGGCTTTCATGGCCGGAATCACTGGGTTGATGTAGGTATTTTTGGGCTATAGGGCCATGTTCTAGAGGCATTCTCTCCTGACGTTTCGCCTGCATCTATGGCAAGCATCCTCAGAGGTAGTGAGGTCTGTTGGAAGTAGGAAAATGGGCTTATATATCTGTGGAATGACCAGGGTGGGACAAAGGACTCTTGTCTGCTGGAACTAGGTGAATGGGTTGTTGTAGGTTTTTTCGGGCTATATGGCCATGGTTTAGAGGCATTCTCTCCTGACGTTTCGCCTGCATCTATGGCAAGCATCCTCAGAGGTAGTGAGGTCTGTTGGAACTAGGAAAAAGGGTTTATATATCTGTGGAATGACCAGGGTGGGACAAAGGACTCTTGTCTGCTGGAGCTAGGTGTGAGTGTTTCAACTGACCACCTTGATTAGCATTTGATTGCCTGGCAGTGCCTGGAGCAATCTTTTGTTGAGAGGTGATTAGATGTCCTTGTTTGTTTCCTCTCTGTTGTTGTGCTGTTGTAATTTTAGAGTTTTTTTTTAATAGTGGTAGTGGTAGTGGAAGGTAAAAGGAAGAGGGGCCAACCAAAGGCAAGATGGATGGATGGCATCCTTGAAGTGACTGGACTGACCTTGAAGGAGCTGGGGGTGGTGACGGCTGACAGGGAGCTCTGGCGTGGGCTGGTCCATGAGGTCACGAAGAGTCGGAGACGACTGAACGAATGAACAACAAAATACTGGCAGCCAGATTGTGTTCATTTTCATGGTTCCCTCCTTTCTGTTGAAATTGTGCACATGCTTCTTGTGGATGTCAATGGCTTCTCTGTGTAGCCTGACATGGTGGTTGTGAGAGTGGTCTGGCATTTGGGTGTTCCCCAATAATAATAATGCTGTGTCCCGGTTGGTTCCTCAGGTGCTCTGCTCTGGCTGACTTCTCTGGCTGATTCGTGCCTGGGCATTGCTGCTGCGTTTGGTGGTCCCTATGTAGACTTGTCCACAGCTGCAAGAGGGATCCTCTCACTTCTGCAGGAGTCTACCGTATTCCATGCAGCTGTGGACAAGGAGAGCATGCCTCTAGACCAGTGGTTCTCAACCTTCCTAATGCCGCGACCCCTTAGTACAGGTCCTCATGTTGTGGTGACCCACAACCATAACATTATTTTCGTTGCTACTTCATAACTTTTGCTACTGTTATGAATTGTAATGTAAATATCTGATATGCAGGATGTATTTTCAGTCACTGGACCAAATTTGGCACAAATACCCAATACGCCCAAAATTTGAATACTGGTGGGGTTGGGGGTGATTGATTTTGTCATTTGATAATGCTGGAGTTGCTGGGATTTATAGTTCACCTAAAATCAAAGAGCCTTCTGAACTCCATCAACAATGGAATTGAATCAAACATGGTACACAGAATTCCCATGACCAAGAGAAAATACTGGGAAGGTCTGGTGGACATGAAGTCACACCAAACCCATGACATGAAGTCTTTCACCTTCTCTATTGATGCAGGAATTCATATATATTCCATCCTGCTAAAGTGAAATAATCCCTGTCCTGAAATGAGCCACAAGGCTGGAGAACAAAGATGGAGAACCTCAAGTGGTGGAGCCAAATTGACCTTGAATTTTTGGAGTTGTAGTTCACCTACATCCAGAGAACACTGTGGACTCAAGCAATGATGGATCTGGATCAAACTTGGCACAAATACTCAATATGCCCAAATGTGAACACTGGTAGAGTTTGGAGAAAATAGACCTTGCCATTTGGGAGTTGTAGTTGTTGGGATTTATAGTTCACCCACAATGAAATAGCATTCTGAACCCCACCAACAATAGAATTGGACCAAACTTTCCACACAAACCTCCCATGACCAACAGAAAATACTATGTTTTCTGATGGTCTTTGGCGACCCCTCTGACACCCCCTCGCGACCCCCACAGGGGTCCCGACCCCCAGGTTGAGAAACACTGCTCTAGACCATGGCCATATAGCCCGAAAAAACCTACAACAACCCAGTGATTCCTGCCATGAAAGCCTTCGACAATACTATTTCTTGCTGTTTCTTTGTCAGTGTTGATGTGGAGATTGTCTGGGTTGCCAACTCTGGCACATGCAACATATCGTTGTCCTTCTTTAGGGGTCCCTTTCAAATCTATGATACTATATCTCTCTCTGTGTGTGAATCATATCTATCTATCTATATCTATGGCTGGATGGCTCTCTGTCAGGAGGGTTTTGTTTACATTTTCTTGCCCTCGTGAAGAGAGTTGGACTGGATGGCCTTAAGTATCTCCTGTTGGTCATGGGGGTTCTGTGTAGGAAGTTTGCCCCAATTCTGTCTTTGGTGGGGTTCAGAATGCTCTTTGATTGTAGGTGAACTATAAATCCCAGTAACTTCAACTCCAAAATTTCAAGGTCTATTTACCCAAACTCTATCTGTGTCCATATTTGGGCATATGGAGGATTCATGCCAAGTTTGGTCCAGATCCATCCTTGTTTGAGTCCACAGTGCTCTCTGGATGTAGGTGAACTACAACTCCCAAACTCAAGGTCAGTGCCCACCAAACCCTTCTAGTGTTTTCTGTTAGTCATGGGAGTCCTGTGTGCCATGTTTGGTTCAATTTTATCATTGGAGGAGTTCAGAATGCTCATTGATTGTAGGTGAACTATAAATCCCAATTGTCTGGGTCTATTTCCCCCAAACCTCATCTATGTTCATATTTGGGCATATGGAGGATTCATGCCAAGTTTGGTCCAGATCCATCCTTGTTTGAGTCCACAGTGCTCTCTGGATGGAGGTGAACTACAACTCCCAAATAAAGGCGCAGTGGGTTAAGGTACTATTGAGCTGTTGAACTTGTTGACTGAAAGGCCGCAGGTTCGAATCTGGGGAGCAATGTGAGCATCCGCTGTCAGCCCCAGCTTCTGCCAACCTAGCTGTTCAAAAACATGCCAATGTGAATAGATCAATAGGGAAGGTAACGGTGCTCCATGCAGTCCAAATGACCTTGGAGGTGTCTATGGACAACGCCGACTCTTCGGCTTAGATGAGCACCAACCCTCCACAGTCGGACATGGCTAGACTTAACGTCAGGGGAAAACATTTACCTTTACCTTATAAAAATATTTAAAATCCTTAACACATTATCGTGAGCGTCTCCATGCCAAGTCATTATTCCGTTGTGTTTTCAAGTAGTTCCATGATTTCGTATAACTATGCTGTGTTAGGGAAGGCCTGCTCAAAAAGCCAGGTTTTCACCTTTTTTCAAAAAGTCAGGAGGGAGGGAGCCGATCTTATATCTAGGCAGGGCGTTCCACAGTCAAGGGGCCACCACTGAAAAGGCCCTGTCTCTCATCCCCGCCAAACGCATCTGCGAGGAAGGCAGGTCCAAGAGCAGGGTCTCCCCAGAAGATCTTAATGTCCCCCCTTCTTCTCCCTCTCCTTCTCCCCCCTGCAGACCCCCCGCGGATATTGTGGCGGCGCTGCAGACCGGAGAGGGTGCCCCTTTCGGGCCAGAGAGGCTGCTGGAGCTGAGCAAGATGCTGCCGGACCCCGAGGAGGTGAGTGGGTGGGGATTTGGGCTGGGGGCGGGGTCCATTGCACCTTCAGTTTACCTTGACTCAATTAAGCACCTGCTGCAAGCCAAGACTTCTTTAAAAACTCTTGAAATCAGAACTGTAAGTAAAGCACAACACTTAAAAACAGGGGAATTCCAGACAAGAAACAATGAAGGACAACCTCCCAACAAAGGATTCCCCTAGGCAGTGAGAAGCTACACCTTGAAACTGCTAGGCTATTCAATGCTAATCAAGGTGGCCAATTGAAACATTCACACCAACCTCCAACAGAATGCAGGTGTTGATTCTTCTTGATTGATGTTAGCCTTGTGTTGACTTCCTTCTCAACATTGTCAACATTTCTCTTATCATTGTCACAGTTCTTATCGGAGTTTACTTTTCAGTTCTTATTAGCAACTTTTAATTACAGTCTACAAGCAGGTAGATAGTCATTGCAGGCCTTAACATTATAATTATTAGCTCCACTCATCCATTCTTCCATTCAACTACATTCATTCCCACATACCAAATCCACATTTTATCAAATCTCTCCATTTTCCCAGTTTCCAACAGACTTCACAACCTCTGAGGATGCCTGCCATAGATGTGGGCAAAACGTCAGGAGAAAATGTTTCTGGAACATGGCCAGACAACAACTCACCTAAGTTTGGTTCTCACTTTGGGGCAAACCAAGAATGGGCAACTTAAGTGGCTGAGGGGGAAAAGGAAGGGGCCTGAGGCTGTTTGGAATGGTGGGAGTTGGAGTCCAAAACACATGAAGAGAGGCCTGAAGTTTGCCCATGCCTGCATTAAGCCATAACATCGTTATTACGTATTCAGACCCATTGTGTCAGTGCTAGCTAATGAGCCTCCTAGTTTGTTCACATCCTCTATGAGAAGATTTATGGCTTGCTGGGTGAACCAGATTCCTACTTCCAGCTACATCCCCACTTAAGCGGCTGAGGGGGAAAAGGAAGGGGCCTGAGGCTGTTCGGAATGGTGGAAGTCGGAAAGAGGGAGGGAGGGAGGGAGGGACCAAGTTGGCCCAGGCCTGTGCTCTATCCTGACCCCTTCCTTCCTTCCTTCGTTCCTCCCCGTGCAGGTCAAACGCCTCCTGGCCTTCCAGGGTGACCGCAGCCGCCTCTTGGAGCCCGAGCTCTTTGCCCTGCTCCTGGTCCAGGTGCCCAAGTGAGTGCCAAGGGGGGGGGACTTACTTGAGGAGGGGGTGCCTGGGGTCCCAGCCTGGGCCCACCCCCAAAGAGACCCCTCCCCTCTCCCCCCCCAGCTTTGCCCTCCGCTTGCAGATCCTGCTCCTCCAGGAGGAGTTCTTCCCGCAGCTCAACAGCCTCCGGTCGGCTATCCAGACCCTCACGGATGCAGCAACGGGTAAGGAGGGGGCAAGGAAGAGGGGCGGGGTCCTCATGGGGCAGCTGTGAGGGGGCCAATGGGGCACCCTGCCCTTTTTCTGCTCCCTCTTCAGAGATCCTGAACTGCGAGGAGCTCCACA